GAGCACTGCATTTTCTTTATTTAACCTACTGAATGACAATGCTGATACATAATGATATGGAAATTCTGATGTATTTGATAATAGAGTCAGGCCCCAGGCCTTTCTGAGGCTGTTATATAATATGGGGTTCATAAAGCAGAGTACCTTCAGCATGCAGGACTCAAGAAAATCAGCTGTGGACCTGGAAATCAAAATTGAAGTTTACATTTAGATTGATGTGCTTTTTGAAAATAGGCAAGTTTTGCTCCTTTGATCAAGGTTGACCATTAAAACAGAATTATATATCTTGTAAGCATAAGAGTAAGCATTGCAGTTATACATATTCATATAAAATAACATTTCCAAAATAAAGTAGACAGTAATTTTATATGCAACATATAATTTCTAACTATCTTATATATATTTAGATATGTAGGAAATCGGCACAGTTAGAATCTTCATAAAATACCTACTTCAAACAATGACACTTTGGGAACTATTATTTATTCCTAAATGGGAAAATTTGCTAAGAATTGTAACTGTCTTTTTATATGAAAGCATAATGCATAAAGCATATGCATAAAGCATAAATTTGTGCATAAAGCATAAATTTGTTAAATATAGAATATTATGAAATAAAATACTTTGTTATCTTCTAGGTTTTGATATAAAAATGTAAAGTCTTAAAGGAAAAGTTAACTGATTTAGTCAATAAACACATAAATGCAGCTATTTGCTGCTCTGCTACAACACTAGTCCTTTTTAATTGTCACACCACCATAGACGGTGGGTACTACTCTAATCTACATTATAGATTTTTTTAAAAACCAAAAAGATAAGATTAGTAACTTGGCCAAAGTTTGCATCTTATCACTAAGCTTTGTTCATTTGTCATTGAAAGCAATATGTGTATATGTATCTTTTATTCTAATCAAAAGCTAAACTGATAAACGAATATCCTGATTATTAAAATAAGTTGAATTAAAATAATTAAACTTTTTGCATGTTAGATCTATCAGATAAGGAATGTAAATATAAAATTTTGTTCTGAATTATTTTGTTTTGTTTACTTCTCAATGAAGTTGGTCAAGATAGACTTTATTTTTTTTATTTTAAAAATAAAAGGAGGAAAACATTAACAGACAGACAACCTTTTACAAAATAGCAAAAGAACAGTACAGACAATACAGAGTTACAAACAAAGTGGTAGGAAATTAACAATGCTTCTTGTATTACATACTGATATTTTCAAAGTGGTTTCTCATGAATACAGATAGAGACATGCAATATTGATCAATCAAAGACTCACTGACTCGTTCTTTCAGCAAAGAAATAGAAGACAGTAGAACAACTATGTTAACTATCCTGTATATACATACATACAAAATTTCTCATTCTTTCCCTTCTCTTTTCCCACATCCCAACTGCCCTTTACCCTTGAGTGTTTTCCTATCATTTCACGATGTCTATCATACCTCCTAGTTTAAATTAACTCTTTCAGGTTTTACACTAGTGAAACAATGTGGTGCTTGCACATATATGTCTGATTTATTTCACTTATGAGTATGGTCTCTAGTTGTGACCATTTACCTATAAAAGCCTCAAGTTTATCTTTCTTTATAGTGAGTAATATTCCATTATGTAAAAGTACCACAATTTTCTTATCCAATCCTCGGTGGATGGACATTTGGGTTGCTTCCACAATTTAGCAATTATAAATTGTGCTGCTATGAACATAGATGAACATATATCACTGTGATATGATGTTTTTAGGTCTTCTGGGAAAATACCCAGCAGCGGGATAGCTGGGTTGAAAGGGACCTCTAGACCTAAATGGTTACATTATTTTTCAGGTAGAAGACATGCAGAAATGAAGACAAATATTATGGCAAGAAGCTAACACTAAATAAAATTCTTCCATTAAATGGTCAACCAGGAAAAACATTATTTCTTTAATTATTTGGAATTACACTGATAACTATTAAAAAATTTTAAAAGTATTTAAACAAGAATGCATTTTTATAACATCTCAGCAACAGTCTGTTTATGCTGGGAAGCTAACTTGAAGTGGAAACTCAAATAGATATTATTGTTTAGAAATATACCTTCCCATTTTTTCTTATTTTCCCCACAAATTTCTATTAGTTTTATTCAGAAAAGTTTCAAGCCTTAGAAAATTTAAGAGTAGTAATTATCAATATTCATATAACCTACACCCATATTTACTAGTTAATATTTTTCCATCTTTATCACTTTATGATTTATTATCTATCATTGGTCTACTCTGATTTTTTGGTGAAACATCTAAAAATAAGTTTTAGATATTATATATAACATAGGAGTCCTTGCTTCTCTAACATGCATGTCCTAATAGGGACTCATAATCATTATATATAGCAAAACATTTAACAATGATACCATAAAATTATTTCATACAGAGTGCATTTTTACAATTCTTCTTGTTTCCCAATAAGATCACTTATGAATTTGTTCACTTATATATGTATTTACTTCTTTTTTAGCTAGTAGTCAGTAAAAGATCATTTGTAGAATTTGTCTCAGGCTTCTTCCTTGGCATTGGCATGCTTCAAGCCATTTTTCCTAAACACTGTTCCCATATCTGCATTTATCTGATTCTTTCCGGAATTCAGGCTAAATAGTGTTTGGAAACAGGTCTTCATAGATGATGATATTCTGTACTTCTTCATTGTGTCTTATCAGGAGATGCATAATATCAGTTTCCCTATTATTGCTGATGCTCATTAGATCTGTTGTGGTAGAGCTGAGTTCAGGAAAGGAAGGACACTGGAGGAAGTCATGAGGCAGTGAACAGCTTTATTTTACACCGATGGTCTTGACTGGAATAACTTCCAAAAAAAGCCAGGTAGCGAGTGTCTCTGAGCCAGCATTTTATATGAGGCACAAGCAGGGGTTACAAAGGTGTGTCAGGACAGCCTGGCAGTTCTTCTGATTAGCTAGTGGGGTGAGATCATCAGTTATATGAATGACTATCAGTTACAAGGTTAGATTAATGGCCACAAAGCTTGGTACAATCAGGCATCTTGTATATTTGGTTGTGCTATTGTGGTTACTAGTAGGTGGCTGCCTTCTAAAAAAAAGATATATATAGGACCCAGGGACTCTGAAGTCATGGCCAAATTGTATAGGGCACAATTGCTTAAAGCACCATTGCTAACAAGAGCCAGGCTAGTCACAACACCATGTGAATGATAAAAGACCATCATCTGATCCCTGCACTGAAGTGAATCAGAAGATTGAACTATCAGGCAAGAAACTTAAAGTAATCATCATAAAAATGATTCAATAAGAAATTTTAAATTCTCTTGCAACAAATAAATGTATAAAACAGCAAAGAAAGGGATACTGCAAAATAATAACACAGTGAGGATTATAGAACTGAAAAAGAAATAACAAACATTTTTTAAAAGCTTGTTGGATGACACAATATTAGGGTGGAAATGACAGAAGACAAAATCACTGAATGTGATGATACATGCATGAAATTTACCCATTCTGAACAACAGAGATTACATAAAATGAAAAACTGTATCAGCCTCAGGGACCTATGGGAGAATAAAAAAGATCTGATCATCCTATAGCTGAGTCCCAGAGAGAGGGAAAGCAAGCAGGTTGAACAAGAACTAGAAAGAGAAACAACTGAAAAGTTCTCAAATATCCTGTGTGATATAACTCAGTAGATTCAAGAATCTTAGAAAACCCCAAATGGAATAAACCCAAAGAATTTCATATAATGCATATCATAAGTAAACTTCTGGAAGCCAATATCAAAGAAGAAACCTTGAAAGCAGCAGGAGGTGTATGCAGAGATATATATCTTCAAAACAATATCAATTTGAACAACTGTGGACTTTTCATTTGAAAATACATAAGCCAGAAGAAAGTATCAAAAACTCTGTTAACCACATGTTCTACAGCTAGTAAACTGAAGAGATAATTAAGATCTTTTAAACAAAGGAGAAGTGGAAGAATGGGATACTAAATGTTTGCCTATAGAATGACCAAAGGAGGTTCTTCAAACAGAATGGAAATGATAAACAGAATCTTGTCGATAAAAAAAGATGAATAGTATATCCAGTGGATACCTTCCTGAGTCTTAAAAATATTTAATTATTGCAACAAAATACAATGCCACTTGATACATAAAGTGGTATTATTTAAAAGTAGAACAGGAGCGAATTGTAGCTGCACATGTCTGTAATCACAACACTAAGGAAGTCGAGGCAGGAAGATCGATAGTTTGACATCAGCCTGGGCTACAGAGTTCACAGCTAGACTGGACCACAAAGCAAGACCTTATCTAACAAAAACTAACCAACTAGCTAACTACATTTTGAAATGGTAAAGAAAGTGAAATGGAAGTAAGGTGTCCACATTTTACTCAAACTAATATTGATACTTGCGTGACAGTCTTCTAACTGTGATACATTTCATATACATAACAGAAAGAGCAGTCACTAAAAAGACTTTATAAAAAGATATACCTAAAAGTACTATAACTATTTCAAGACAGTTCAGTGGGGAAAAGGATAGTCATTTCTTCAAATAGTTCTGGGACAATTAAATGCACATATACAAAAGAAATCAAGTTGGTTTTTAAAAATTTTTTAGTGTGGTAAAATACACATCCCATTGCTTGTGTTTTGCTAGACATGAATTCACTTAGTAAAGAAAGGAATAGTAATCTGAACTTCCGATTTCTTCCTTAACACAGTCCAGAAATCTTTTAACACTGAATGCCAATTCTTAATGGACAACAGTTGGTTTAAGTGGATTTCTCTTTTAAGTGAGGTCAGGAGTTTCAGCTCCTCTGACCCACTTGGGAAGTTTTTGGTGAGGTATCAAAGGATGTCTTAGATTCCTTATTTCCATTGTCCTTGAGGACACCTGAAGTAATGTGTGTAAATTTGCATAACAGTAGAATGATAATTGTAGATTTTCTTTACTTACCTCAGATAACTAACATTTAAACGTTTCTTCAGTTTAAAGATGGAACCCAAGACTAAAGGATTAAAGCAGCAGCAGCAGCAGCACAAGAAGCTTCTAGCAGCAATGCTTTCTCAAGATTCCTTTGAGTCCATCCACAGCCCTACCCCATCTGTAACAGAGGAAGATATTGATAATGAAGATGATGCAATGGAGTTGCTGGGTAATTTTAAAAATTAATAATTTCTAATTTTTCTTCTTTAGCATTGTAAAAGTGTGTAGTGATTAAGAGATCTCAAAAGTTTTTGAATAGTTTTGTCTTTGGGAAAAGAAGTCATTAAACACATACTTTCTTTACCTGAGATTTTCGTGGAGTTGCATGTAACTAAGCATGTGAAATACTTTTAGACTGTATTTTGTGCTCTGTGTATGCAGCGCTTTCCCTTCTGACTACTTCAAGAAGCTTTACTGTGTGCAACTGTGATAAAAGGTCAAGTGTGTCTGCTTTATTCTTGATAATTGCATTGATCACACCTACTGTCTATAAAATATACCCAAAGTACATTCTCCAGTCCTCATTCCAATATGTTATTCTAAAGATGTTTTAGAAAAATAGAATAAAGTTAAAAGAAGCAGAGAGTAAATTAATACCTTATGTCTGTCATAAATGATGGGAAAGTTTGCAAAGAATTATGTCTTTTTAGGTTCCTTACTTTCATGAAAACTTTATTAATGTTGTATGTATAAGATATCTTTTTATATTTTTTATTGAGGTAGATGTATGTTTTTACTCCAGCAGAAATCTCTTCATATACATTTTTTAAATTGAAGGAAGTTCACTTTGGAAAATCATTTTCCAAGAGAAGGAAATGAAATGTTATTTCTTTTCAAGGAGAGTGATCCATATATAAAACATTGTTTTTAATTCAGTGATATTTGTTGTCTATTATAGTAGTATAAATAAGTATCACTTATTCTACTATAAATAATAATCTCTGAATGCTTTTGTGGAAGGATTCTGTTGCATTTTAACTAAATAGAGAATTCATACAAAAATTTGAAAGCTTCATGCAAGGTTTACATGTAGAAAATGGAATCTCAGGAAAATGCATCTATTTAAATTCTTTTCTAAATAGTATTTCTTAGTTATAAGTGTTTGGCAATAAATTATTTTCATTATAATAAATCATATGTCTCCATGCATAGACATACAAAGGTGTTATTTAGTCAGCGGTAACAGGTTCAAAGATGTGTTCCGACGGTATAAATAACTGCATTCATTCCAGCTAAGGAGACTGTATCATGGCATTGCACTATATGCTATTAGCCTTTTTTATTTTTTTCTTTTATTTTCTTTTTATTTGTTTTTGAGCAGCTAAGTCTTTATCTTTTCACCTCCACAGTAACGTGGCCCATGTGCCAGATGTGGCCGTGGCATTGTCATTCTTTCAGTTTCCATTCAACAAACATGGACTGAGCACTTGTTACATGCCAGCCCTGGGCTTGGTCCTGGGGACATAAATATAAAATAATACTGGTGTCTGCATGAACTTGGCATTGTAGCTTTCAAGATAAAAGTGAAAATGTATCACTTCGGTGGTGTTCTCCATCTCTGAACATTGGATTAAGCACACAGCTGTGTCTAGCGGTAGCACCTAATGTAGTCTTAAGAGACCATGATCAGAGAATGTTTCATAGAGAAGCTGATTTCTCCATCAATACTGAAGAATAAGTAGCTTGAGCTTAGAATGTGGAGTGTAATCAGTCCTCTGTAGGTTTGCTCGACTGTGTGTAGGTTCTTTTGCAACTGTGTCCAGAAAGGTGCCTGCACATTGCTCCTCTGCTTTGCTCAGTAGCAGTGAAGAGGGTGCATGAGGGCAAGGGATTCTTTAAGGAGACTCAGGTGTCCGTTCAGGGCTGGTCTCCCTAGATCTGAGCTGCTCTGTTCCAAAGTTTCCAGTCTTGCAAGCAGAAGACCATTGGATTTGGTTTTAGAATCTACCTAATGATGAGCAATTAATAACTGATCCTGATTATTTTTTTTTTTCATGTAGGCATTTTAGTTTGTATTCTGAGCACATTTAATAATGAAAAATATTGGAACACTTGATCATTATGTAATCCCACATGTCTAATACAACTGGCTATTAGTAAACAAAACTGGTCTCTAAGGTATGAAACTTACCTGTAATACCACCGAATGTTCTAAGTACACTGGATTATTCCCTAAAATAATGCCATGTACAAGTTCCTATTTCTGAAACTAATTTCAGAGAAATGTGATTGTGTCTACTTGAGGAAAACACAAATGTTAATTTCTTGGAGCTTTATGTGAAATCAGATTTAGTATGTAGTCTTATTGCAGGATGTAATAGAGAAAATTGGTATTGAAAATATCTTTTTGAATCTACAGTATGTTGTAGAATGTTTGCTGTAATGTATGTGATTGTAAGGATTTAAGTTGTCATTGCTGTCTATACTAAGGTATAATTTGTTGAAAACTTTAATTATTATGCATGGGAAACACTCTGTAAACATTGTGAAGTGATACATAAGTAAAGGTATTATTATTAGCTAACATTAACATAAAAAGCAATTACTCCTCAATAAAATTCACTGATTGAAAGAAAAAGTCTTTTAGTTGAACAAGTAAATGTAAGTAAAACTATTTATCCTTGCTTTTTATTTTAAAAATCCAGCATTGTTAATATATATTGATCAACAGTTAATTATTCATTGTTGTGTAAGTGTATAGTTGTAGAATTCTGAATGTGTTAAGCATGTAAAAATAATATAGTATGGACCCTAAAAGGTTTTAAGAAGATTATTTCCTGTAAAATTGTATTAAGTACTACCTACAAATATGAAGTTCAATGTAGGTGTGGTGGTGCACCCCTGTAATCCTGGGACTCATGAGGCTGAGGGAGGAGGATTGCCACAAGTTCAAGGTCAGCCTGAGCTACACAGTGAGTCCAGGCTAGCCTGCATTACATAGCGGGACCCTGACTCAAAAAAACAAATTCATAGCCCAAAGGCAGCTTAGTGTGAAATTACTACTATCTATCAGAGAATAAAATATCCAAACTTGTGTATTAAAAAAAAAAGATTTAAGCACCTCTGGAATTTTCTCTAATTATACAACATGTTGAATATCTGTCAAATCACCTCAAATGTGTAGTAACTAGCCAGAAATGTAAGATACTCTCAAGTATTTTAATAGTTCTACTGGAAAATAACGACTATAATAAATAAAAATCTTTGTAAAGAAACTGCAATATTGAAAATTTTAAATCAATAATTTTTCAAAAATCATATAAGTTGTAGTGGTAGAATAAAAAATTTATTAAAACTCATATCTTTAACTCCATCATTGTCACAGGAAATCTGAGGAACTTCATTAGTTTAAAATATATTGTAGCTTGTAAATATGAGCCCATTTCCATTACATTACATTCATTTATCATCTTACTCTTGTTGAAACTAAAATTATAATTATGTGTTTATTCTCTATATGATCTATACTCATTTTAAAAATGATCAGAATTATATGTAAGACACAACTATTTTTCTTATACATTGTAGTGTGAAATATTACTTTTAAAAATCTTTAGGTTTTCTCAGAATTGATGCTGAGACAAATATCTAAAAATCATATTTCAGAGATTTGAAAAAAAACTCATGCTCTATTAAATTTAGAACTAAAATTATATTGGCAGAAATAAGATGATTTCAAATAGATTTTGTATAAAGTGAACAATCAAGACCAGTTATAGTGATATTCTTTTTGCATATCTGAAATCTCTTTATCTTACCAATAGTTTCTGAAATCTCTTTATCTTACCAAATTTGGTAAAATAAAAACTTAATTTACTAGAGAGATTCATTACATTAAGGCCCTCTTTTCTCAAATTCCTTGGTATGTGATCAACCTTTTCTAAAGTAAATATTCGCTCTCTGTTGTATTTTCAATCACAACTATCTTAAAATAGAAAACTCCCATATTGGCATATTACAAACATGGATTTCATCTAATGAAAAGTGAATGCTGTCACCCAGTGATGTTAAACTAGCCAACTTTTTCAAAGTGTTCCTGGAACTATGAAAAGTCATGTTCACAAGTTTTGATGAATGCCCCTTGCATCACTTTATTTTCTGTTATACTTTTCAATATATTTTGTAGGGATATTTGAAAAATGAACCCTGTAGAGTAGAAAAGTCATGTAAGCTATAAAATAAAAATAATTCTAGCATAGACATTAGAAAATAACTTCTTTGTTGCTTTATTTTGTCATATTAAAACTTTACTTGGAATTCTTACTTTGCTTTTGTTAAATGTGACTCATAGCCCCCTTCACTATCTTTTACATTCGCTTGTTTTGTGTGTGAGATTATATTCACGTTATATTTTTTATTATTCATTTTTGTTTCATTTCAGCAAAATATGAGAACATTTGCAATTGATAACCAGAGTTTAGAGCCAGGGATATAGCCCAGTGTCACAGCACCTGCCTGGCAAGCACAAGGTCCTGAGTTTGATTCCTGGCACCAAAAAAAAAAAAAAAAAAACCAATCAGATAACCACAGTTTATTTGCAGAATTGCCTTTAAATAATTTGTGTGTGCATGCCACACAACTATGTACATCCTACATAATTTACTTCTATGGTGTTTAATAAGAATGTTGCCCCAGTTCCTTGTAAAATTTTTTTCAATGGTAAAAGCAGATCATTGTAGCAGAATAAGGTCAATAGTTTGCAAATAAAACATAAATTATACATCAATTGCCCTTCCAATTGTGTATCAGGTGAAAACTATAATTTGACAGGTAGCTGTTTCCAATGTACTTCTGGTAAGGTTGCTTGATAGCTCTTTGTCACTGAATAAATTACACATTGTTTGACAGATTTCAGTGACAGAAGTTAATGTGTGTTTCCTCATGTTTACGCTATAGCTTCTTACTGAGCACTTTGCAGAGGGAGTGAGGCTCCGTGTGATGCAGAATACAGATGGATGACTAAACCACTGAGCTAAATTCTAAGAACCAAGAACGACTCTCGTACTGTCTCTTACTAGGTTTATCACCTGAGCTACAAGAAGTTAATTGTACAATACTGGTGATGGTATATGACTGTCTTACTGCAGAGATGTTGTGGATATAAAAAATAAGATATTCTCTGGAAGTCCTATTAATTATTTTGCCATTTTTAGCAGGAATATTGGAAAA